GATGTTTTGGATACCCTAGCTGTCTACGTTGAGGAACGGGTCGTGACGCTGCCGGTGGCACGGAAGCGATTTTTTCTCGTAGCTTCCAAAATTTTCGCTCTCGTAATTGTTGTTACCAGAGCGCTTTGAAAGCTGACGGGAGCGAAATCGCTCGCCGCTCCCGTGTATTTTTTTCGCTGCATCTCTCTCAGTGATCCATCATGAAAACTAATCCATTAACGTTGCTATAAAAGACGATATGAAGGGCTAACTGATAGTAAAGTCAAGGCGAACTGCTGATGAGCTGAAGGAAATGTAGTACTTAGTTTGTCTCCCATCTGTGCATACACGTGTTGACACTATGCACACAGCATAAATGGCTTCATTATCATTACCCGTGTTTATATTCAGCACGTAGAGTGTCAGAATAGACTTAGCCAGTGCCAGAACAGGCTGCTGGACCGGCTAGCCTGGTGGTGGTTGTTGAGGGCATATATATTTAAAATTTGAATAAATTGTAATATACTAGACTAATTGCAATAACAAACTAGAGAGTGCCTTTCCAAATGTTGAAATTGCCTTAAGAATATTTTTAACATTAATGGTCACCAACTGCACAACAGAGAGGTCTTTCTCACAACTGAAAAGTGTAAAAAAAACAAATAGATTGACTCGTAGTCAGAATGAAGTTGTACATGCATGTACGCTCAAAGTCAAAATGTCCTCAAACACCATCTCCTGCGATCTACATTTTAAAAATGTTCTGGGGGAGGACCCCCATACCCCCCGCCTGTTTATCACCACCCTCCTTAAAATCCTACATATATTTTTGTACTGCTGCAACCTGCATTGTATATTTGGTCAGACAGGTCAACAACTAAAATGGACTGGGTCAGTGTGGAAAGGAGGGGGGCACCAAGATTGGTCAGTGCTTAGGGCACCAGTGAGCCTTAATCCGCCCCTGGGGTTATATATATACATGGCTATATATAAGAGCAAAACATGGGGTCCAACGACTCATCGCGTTATATCTAAATTCGCGTTAAATCAGGGCACGTAAAATCGGGGTTCCACTGTATTATTATTGTTATTATTTATTATATTGTATTAGATTTGTCGTAGAGTATTATTCATGTGTCTTGCGTACCAGTGTTGATTTCGGCTGCACCATACATTCATGATGGTTATAGATTGTCATGGTTTGGATGCTGTTGTGACGAAACAAATGTGTGCAAATTATTTGAATCTTTTCGATTTTCATCGTATGACAAGTGTGAGAATTAATTGAGTGTGCGAGTGATCGTTGAAATTATATTCGGATCGATCCGCGAATAAGCACGGCGCATCATTACGCTTTAACGGTCGAAATGGTTACTGAGTTTATTCCTAACGTGTCTGTAACTCTCATGTCTTCCTCTCTCTAACGTGTTCGTTGCTCTCTCAGGTCTTCCTCTCTCTAACGTGTTCGTTACTCTCTCATGTCCGTTAGAGAGAGGAATGTCTGTTACTCTCTCGGGTCTTCCTCTCTCTAACGTGTTCGTTACTCTCTCAGGTCTTCCTCTCTCTAACGTGTTTGTAACTCATGTCTTCCTCTCTCTAACGTGTTCGTTACTCTCTCAGGTCTTCCTCTCTCTAACGTGTTCGTTACTCTCTCGGGTCTTCCTCTCTCTAACGTGTCTTACTCTCTCATGTCTTCCTCTCTCTATCGCAGGTTCTTTTTAATCAACAACATGCACAACAACAACAAGCACGGGGGAATTACGCTTCAATGGTCGAAATTATTACTAAGTTGATCTCTAACGTGTCCGTTACTCTCTCATATCTTCCTCTCTCTCTCTCTCTCTCTCTATCGCAGGTTCTTCTTGAAATCGCGTGGCACATACAAGGCGACGAAATGGTTACTGAGTTTATTCCTAACGTGTACGTTACTCTCTCATGTCTTCCTCTCTAATGTATCCGTCACTCTCTCACGTCTTCCTCTCTCTCTCTATCGCAGGTTCTTCTTGAAATCGTGTGGCACATACAAGGCGACGCATCGCATCGGACAGCGGCACCACGCCGCCCGCGCCGTCGTCGGCCGCCGGCCACTCGTCGCGATCGACGATGAACCAGTGAGCAGTGACTTCCGCTACATCGACGATGAGATACTTGTGAACACGCAGCACATACCCGAGGTGCTCATCCTCAACATGACGAAGAAATGCGCGCCGCCGCCGAAAAAAGCGCGATCGGCCGCGAAACCCGGCGCGGAAGGGAAGTCGCTCAAAGCGAAGTCGTGCGCGCAGAGCAAGAGCAAGGCTGGTGGGACCAGCGGGAAGAAGGCGCGAGTGGAGAAGGTCCCCCGCAAGCAGCAGAAGGTCGTGCAGATATTGAAGAAGGCAAAGGAGCGGGTGAGCAAGACGAGTTCTTCTTCTCCCACGACGCGTTCCGCAATGCAGAAGCGTGAAGAGAAGCGGTGGCAAAACGCGCAGAAGAAGAAATCCTGCGAGAGGAAGCCCACGGCGAAAAACATCCCCCCTGCCGCCGCGAGGAAGGCGGCGGAAAGGAAGACCGCCGAGAGGGGAGTCTCGCACAAGAAGCCTCCTCAGAAGAAGCCGCCGAAGGAGCCCCCGGAGAAGGCGGCGCGGCCGGGGAAGGCCGCCGTCGTCGTGCAGGCTCGCAAGAGGAAGCGCCGGATGGCGAGTTTGAACGCGGAGGCGATGGTCATCGCGATGTACGAAGACGTGACGCCGCCGAAACGCGCGAAGTGCGACGGAGACCGAGGTCGCGCGGAGGTCGCGGCGCGTCGAGAGCGGCATAGGGACTGCCGAGCGTGTGCTTCGTGTCCGGCGTCCACGCACCCACCGCCGACGACGCCGACGACAACGACGACGGGGTCGGCGTCTCAGTTAGGTCGACGACCTCCTGCGTCTCGACCTTGGGCACGCGAGGCGGCGTCGTCTCGACGATCACCGGCGCGTCGGCGGCGTCTGCTGGGCGCGTCGTCGTCGTTGTCGTTGTCGCCGCGGCGACGGGCGGCGCCGGGGGTTTCGGCGTCTGCTTGCGTTTCTCGGGCTTGACGGCGCTTGCCGCTAGGATTGCCATCGCGTTGAGACTCGCCATGCGCTTGCACAGCCTCGCGTCGATTAGCGGCTCGGTCTCGGGCGCGGCCGGCGCCTCGCGCGAGTCCCGGGTCGTCCGCGTCGCCGCCGACTTCGTCTTTTTCTGCGCGTTCTTCAGTTTTTTACGCGCGGCGTCGATGCACGGCCGCGCCACCGCTTTAGACTTTATCGCTTTACCCGCCGCCGCCGCACGTTTCTTCGAATCCTTGCCGGCGGCGTGACCTTGACCCTTAACCTTACGTGCTGACGCGATGGGCGCTTTCGCCGTGGGTCGGCACGGCGATCGATCGGCGGATTTTCCGTCGGCGGGCGGCTTGACTGCCGGCGCGGTTGACAACGACGATGACGACTTCCCTCGCGCCGCCGCACACACCTTCTTCGAGACGCCGCCGCCGCCTCTCTGTGTCCTCGTCGCGACGCCGGCATCCTCTGCTCGAGGCGGGACGGCGGGGGAAGCGTGGCGGCAGGCGGCGGCCGGCGGCGGCGGGCGAGGCGGGGGTGAAGATCGAGTACGCGGCTGCGCGCTCGGCCGTCATTGGCGGCTACGTGGCCGCCGGCGGGTCGGCGATGTTTCCGCCGATGTGCCGCTGCGACGCGTGCGCGTACGCGTCGCGCATCAACCCGCTGCTGCTGCATCGCGGCGCCTACGGTAGCGCGTTCTCGGCTGTGCCGCCGCATCATCACGCGTACGGTGCACCGCCCGGCGTGCCGTTCCCACACGACGAGTACTCGTGTAAGTACGTCGCGTGTTTAAGTAAACTACCTAAGTAGTTACTCTACTTAGATAACTAGTACTCAACTACTACTCGTGTAGGTACAATGGCTCGCACTGTATATAAGTAATCTACCTAAGTCTGAGCGGTTTCGACAGCCACGTTGCTTACTCTGCTTCTCATACTTTTCGCGCGTGCATTCGTGTACTCGAAAAGACGAGTATGGCGTGTAAATGTGCATAGGTGGTCCGTGCGGTTCAAGTAACCTACCTAAGTAGGGATGCACTTACATGTAAGCCCGTAGTGATTTAACATTTAATGTAACATGTCTTTTCGTCAACTGCTCTCGTTTCCAGGTCAAAATGAAAAGATTTCGACATTTACTGTTGTTTTACGACAAACGTGAATGCGCGATTATAGAAATTTCTAGGTATATGCTATTATTTATGCACTTACTATCATAACCTGCAAATTCTTGGGGAAAGTATCCCTTTGACTCCTCTCGTTAATTACCCAATTAACTCCTCGTCTCTTTTGCAGGCTTCTACCAGCCCGCCGGCCCGATGATACAGACGTTCACGGACACGTGCGTGCTACCGAAGCCCGTCGCCATGAGAATTCCGCAGTCGGACAAGACGGAGCTGCAGGCGCCCCCTGCTGTGCACGCGGGGCACAGGCGTGCCGCGTTTATCAGCGCAGCTGCTGACCTGTACTCCGGCAAGAGGCGTGCGGAGGGCTGCGAGATCGTGCTGAAGAGAGAGCGGCGTGAGAGAGGAAATCCTGGCGGTGCGGAGAAGGAGGGGGAGGACTGCGAGATCGTGCTGAAGAAAGAGCGGCGTGAAAGAGGAAATCCCGGTGGTGCGGAGAAAGAGGAGGAGGACTGCGAGATCGTGCTGAAGAGAGAGCGGCGTGAGAGAGGAAATCCCGGCGGTGCGGAGAAGGAGGAGGAGGGCTGCGAGATCGTGCTGAAGCGCGAGCGGCGGGACAGAGGAAGCCCCGGTGGCACGGAGAAGGAGGAAGGGGAGAGGAGGAGCCTGGCCATCGAGGAGCGCCTAGACATCAAGGAGGAGCCGCATCCTCTCCCGGCGGTGCATGGCCTGTGTAAGACCGTTGGCAGCAGCGGAGGCGGCGGCGGCGCCCTCTACCTTGGGTGCAAGTTGCCCAGCCGCTCGTCCGCCGAGGGGCGGGCGCGAGACGGGGGGTCGAGCGATACACGAGCGCGAGACGGAGGGTCGTGTGAGACGCGAGCGCGAGACGGAGGGTCGAGCGAGACGCGAGCCAGAGACGGAGGGTCGAGCGAGACGCGAGCCAGAGACGGGGGGTCGGGCGATGAGCGACGGCGAGACGGGAGGTCGGGTAGCACACGGGAGGGCGACGAGACTTCGGATAAGGACCGGGATGCGCGGGAAGGTCCGCGGAGGAGGAAGGTCTTCCCGGGCAGGAACGATGTGCACGGCCGCGCGATCGAGCCGCGATGCAAGAACGGCAACGACGACGCGCACCGCAAACTCACCGCCGACGACGACGACAAGCGAACGCTGGTGGCGTCGGCGCACGCCGCCGCCGTTGTTGCCGACAACAAGAGAACGCTGGTGGTGTCGGCGTCCTCCGCGCCGTGCCTCCCGTTGCCGATGGTCGTTCAGGTGGACAAGACAGGCCGAGTGTCGGCGGAGCTGCGGCAAGGCGGCAAGTCCGCCGGTCAGTCGTCTGCCTGCAGGCGCGGCGGCGCGAGGCCGGCGAATCCAGCGAGCACAGAGAAGCGTATGAAGGGCTGTAGCAAGTCCGACTGGCCAGCGAATCCGAGCGCGGAGAAGCGTGGCAAGTCCAGGCAGCTGTGCGCGGCCGGCCGGTCCACCGCAAGGCCGGCGGCGGGTTCGGGGTCAAGGTCGGGGTCAAGGTCGCCGCCGCGGTCGAAGACGAGGAAGTCGCCGTGCGAGACGGCGTGCATCGGCGGTGGTGGCGCCACCTGCAAGCCCGACGCGGGCGGGCGTGGCTCGCGGGCGGCGACAGAGGGCGCCGCCAAGTCGCGGTCGACGACACCGTCGGGCGTCAAGAGGTCGAAGGTCGACGGGACGCGGGCGGACGCTGACCAGCGGGCGCTGGTGCGGCAGGTAGGCAAGCAGAGGTTGCATCAGACAAACGGCAGCGGCGGAGGCGGCGGCAACGAGAGGAAGAGCGTGAGTCCGGCGGTGACGAAGGGTGGCGAGCGGAGGCCGAGAACGGACGGCGGCGGCGGCGAGCGCAGTCGGACGCACGCGCCAGATGCTCAGGATGCGAAGCGCGGCGGCGGCGTCGGACGACGCAAGCTCAGCGTCGGCTGGGAATTCGACGGGCCTTCGGCGGAGAAGCCAGTCTACCACCAGGTGAGTCACATTAAAGTGATTACGTCACCGTTAATAGTAAAAGTAAAAAAAATATTTCCACTTTTTCACAAAATGTAAGTAATTCTGTTCACTTTTTATGGTTAAATTGCTGCATTATACTTCCTGTCGCTTTTTCACAAAATATAAGTAATTCTGTTCACTTTTTATGGTTAAATTGCTGCATTATACTTCCTATTTTACTATATTGTTCAATGTAAACATATACTCGTGATTCATACATAGCCTATAGCAAGCAATTAATGTCAGGATCATAATATCAAATTGTCCAGGTTTTTTGGATTTTTAACTAGTTGAGAAACATTCTTATCGGGTAACAATTTGACGATACGTTAAACGGGTTTAGTCCCGCTAGTTTTTACTTTTAATGTAAAAATTGCATTTTTTTTTACAAAATACACCATAGAAAATTTGTGACATAGTCAATTTAAATCACGGTGTAGCACCGGCGCTTTGAATCCGGGCGCATACCGAGACAGGTGCATTTGCGTTGCACGGAACGCGGATTGGGTTGAAATCGCATTTTCAAATTGACTACGTCACGAATTTTCTATGGTGTATATTTATATATAAAAGATTTTGTTGCCATTTTTTACAGTAAAAGTAAGTACTAACGGGACTAAATGTATCGTCAAATTCTTACCTGATAAGATTGTTGCTTATCAGGTAAAACTAGTAAAAGGTAGGTTAACTAGTTAAAAATCCAAAAAACCTGGACAATTTGATGTTATGACCGGCACTTTGAATCCGGGCGCATACCGCGACAGGTGCGTGTGCGTTGCACGGAATGCGGATTGGATTGAAATCGCGTTTTTAGCTCACCTTGACATCGCCAAGATGAGCTATTGCCATGGGTCGTCGTCCGTCGTACGTCCGTCCGTTCGTCCTTCCGTCAACATTTGGCTACGGTCAACGATAACTCAGGAACCGTGTGACCCACGTGTTTGAAATTGGGTATAGTTGTTACTGCTATGCTCCCATATTGAACGTCCTATTTTGGAGCACGCCAGTCGACGTACTTTCGAGCCACGGATATTTTTGGCAAAAAAGGGAATTGCCATTAGTCAGTTCAGTTTAAGGGATTTTGCTCATTTTTGGTATGGGCCAGGGGTTTGATATTTAAAAAATATTATGCAAATAGGTAGGTTTGGCAATTATATAGCATTATTTTTATAGACACGCAGATAACAGTCTGTGGGGTCACACTCGTCTGGGTCGTTTACAAGATTTCATTGACAATATCTTTAATGCAAAATTGGTATTTCCTCTCCACTCTGCGATAAAACGTCTATATTAGAGTAAAGTTTTACAAAACATGTCGGAACGTAGCATAACCTTTTATTTCGAACGCCATCGCTTAAGAAACATCAAAGCGGGTATAGCGCCATCTACTGTCACAAATTGTGATTCATTTTGTGATAAATTATTGCGATATACAGAATGGCAACCGTGTGCTACCGCCTAGAAAAACTCATACGAAGTAAACACTTCCATGCAACCAATATAACTTTGACAAAAGTTGTGTTATGGGCAGGGAAACACCATTGTCACATGGTATATAGCAGCTACGTGTAATAAGCGTATCCTCTCAATCTTACACGTGTACACATCGGAGCTCCGCTGTTAGCCAGTGCCTAAATCTGAATATTATAAAAAATGTTAAATGGCGATCATTTAGGTGTAACGCCATCACTCACCCACATCTCAGACTTTCACATCTCAAACATTTATTTTCACATAAAAAATTACACATATAATTATCAAGAGTATATTATGGGAGTTCTTCGTTTCTATAATGTACGTCGATGGTTGCTCAATTAAAACTGACTTCTTCTCACTCACTCATTTGTGTCTTTTTTTTGGTGAGCTACAGTGTCATGGACACTTTCATTAAGACTTGCTTTCAGAGCCTTTGCCCGCAGAGCATTTCGATGCGCATTTTTTTATTTTATTTATTTTTATTTGATGATGTGACCCTTCTGGAAAGATCCAAGTATTGCTAATGTTCATCACAGATCATGTTTCCTAAGCATTTTTAGGATCTGAAACTGGCGGCAGTCTATCGTTCATCTTCGTCAAAATGAGCGCATTCGTGTGCCGTTCATTAACCTAACCTTCAGAGAATTTTGGCTTGTGTATGCTACAGCTTTTGTTACAGGTTTTTAGCTCATCTGACGTAGTCAGGTGCAGCTTGTAGAATCGCATGATCGTCCGTCCGTCCGTCCGTCCGTCCGTGCGTCAACAGTTGGGCACAAATCTTAAGCCGCTCGACGTACGGTCACGATATTCGGGGGGGGGGTAATCCGAAAACGAGTTGGGATGTCGAAGCTGGGGGTCAAAGGTCAAGCAGGTGTAAAAGAAGGGGGAACTTTCCTCCTAACTTAAGGTATAGGGGAGGAAGTGCCAGAATTGCGCCACAAATCTAAACGGCTCGACCTAGGCTCGTGATAGTTGGTGGTATAGCATCATAGGTAGGAAAAGCCATCCCTGTGCCGAAATTGGAGGTCAAAGGTCAATGGGTCACAGGGCAGATTTTAGACATTTTCTGAGGACGTTGGTCTGACCGAGCGATTGAAAAACTTTTTTGTTTCAGCCGGTTACCTACCATTTTTATGGCTTTATTGAAAGGACCATCAAATGTGCTTTTCCAGTGACGTGCGAAGAGTGAAGTGTCTGATAACCCTTTTGCCCTCAAGAGGAGTTTAAACATGGATTTGCTTGACTGTTAACAAAGGACTGAACTGTGTTTGATTGGTACTTGTGTGATCGTGGAAGACTTAAATTTCACAGTGAAATTCTGCATGCAAAACTTACTTGCAACAACGTTTACGCGCCTTAAATCATATATTGAACTTCATTCTCTATATGAGATTCTTGTACGTTGGAATACAATGTCAATAGCACTTACGCAAACGTCTGTTTTGATTAAGGCCAACTATAAATAGTACTACCTCGCAGGTGGGTGGCCTGATAGCGTGGCTGATAGGACTATCAGTGCATAGTATCACAGCATGGGGCCTAAACGTAGACTGGTACTCGCTCCCACCTCGATTACTCGCCCCATCGAGTAACTAAGCCGAGAGGGTGGGGACCGGGTACCAGTCTACGTAATACGATGCAGTATGCATGCCATCTTAGTCTACAGGGGCTCGCGACTTTAAAACGGTGGCCCGCGGTGCCAATGGCCACTGAAACGGCGTCGGGCCACCTGAAACTGTCGGTTGGTGGCCCGCCTGGCACCAATAAAAATAAGGCCGTGGCTACGCGGAAACCGGTCGAGGAGCGCTAGGCTACGCGTCCGGACATCTCACACAAGATCTTGTGACACGTTACACGCATTGATTACGCAAGCTCGATTACGCTCTGCTGATTGCCAAGTGGTGTGTGTACGTGTGCGTGTGTCCATATGCGTATGCGCGTGCGCGTGTGCGTGTTGCTACGGCGCGCGCGCGTGTGTGTGTGTGTCGTGTGTGTGTGCATGTGCGCGTGCGCCGCGCGTGTGTGTGTACGTGTGGTTCTACTGAAGCCCAGATTCTGAGAATGTCAATCGCAAAGAACAATGCTTTTACTTGGCCTAATCAAAATAGTAAGGCACCTGCCCAATCTTCGGCTACCCATCAGCTGTGGGTGTCGTTGCACGTGTGTGCGTTCGAACATTTCTCACGAGTTCAAGACAAGTGGAGTACATACACAGAGATTGGTATGTTTAGGAGGGGTGTCACGGATGATACGGGTGTAGCGACAGGAAGGGTGTAGGTAGGGAGAAGTGTATAGGATGCATACACTGTAGAGACAGAGGAGGGTTTAGGAGGAGAGGGTGGGAGTACCGCGGCTAGCGCAGTCCAGTTCCATGTGCTCCTTGGCGTAGTCCAGAGTATAGGTCGCGGCCGTGACCTGACCCTTGACTCTCGACACGCGCTCTTTGACGGGGGTGACCGAGATCACGGATGGCAGCAGGCGTTGGCGGACCCGACGGCGGGTACCGCGATGCGTCGTAGGAGTACTCGATAGGAGAACGGAGTCCATATCGCGGACGGACCGGATTGTGGAGTTTAGAGATCGGAGTCGTTGGTATGCTGTTAGCGCGATGATCACTGTAGAGACAGGAGAGTGCAGTGGCCGTAGGGTCTAGGGATGATACACTGTAGAGACAGGGAGGTGTTAGGGGGGGGAGGGGCGTGTACGGGATTGATACACTGCTACGAGACAGGGAGGGGAGTCCTGGAATGTTTTTTGGGATTTGAGTCTGTTGGTTGATGGTTTGGTTGTTGGGCGTGATGCTGGATTTTTTTATGGAATCTTTGTTCTCTTTTTGAGTGTTTGTTGGGATAGCGTGTCAGCTGTTGGACTGATGGTGGGGTTGTTGGGTGATACCGGTCTTGATTTTTTCCATCCGTGGGGCTTTAAGTTTTTCTGATTACAATGGGCTGTGCTTAGTATGAGGTTTGGATGTTTTGCGTGGAGGTCATATTATCGTTTTTGTGCGTGGATCGTTTCGATTGAAGGTTGAGGTGGGAGCAGGGAGTGTAGCGGAGTTGCATAATCCGCTGGTAGCAGAACAGGAGGGTTGTAGGGCCATGCACAATATACTGTAGAGACAGGGAGGGTAGTAGGGATGGCGATACACGTAGCAGACAGAGAGCGGTGTAGGGCGAGGGGTGTAGGAACGATTGATTTATCACTGTGAGAGACAGAGAGGGTGTTATGGGTCGGGAGGGGGTGGTAGGCATTATACACTGCTTAGCGACTCAGGGCAGGAAGTGTAAGGTGCATGATACACACCTGTAGAGACAGGAGAGGGGTGTAGGCCACTTCGGGGAAGGCGGTGTAGGTGATGACTACATGGTAGAAACAGAGAGGGTGATGTTTTGAAGGTAGATTAGGGGGAGGGTGTATTAAATGTTCACACTGCTAGAGACAGGGAGCGTTGTGTAGGGGGGAGGGGTGTTAGGGGAAGATGCACTTGTAGAGACAGAGAGCCGCGTGTAGGGGGGAGGGGTGTAGGCGCAGTTGTACAAAATAGACCAGCCAGCTGACGACCCCATGACTAACTGATGCGATCTGACCCCATTGGTACAGAACACTTGATTTTCTCGATTCATCAGAAGCGTTCAGATGGACAGTCACACTGAACATTAGAATGATTGAAGGACGTTTGATTGACAATCTTAGATGACATGAGTGTCTGCTACTTAATAAAGATACCTGGCCCCAGAAGGATTTGTTAAGCTTTTTAATATTGGAAACTTATTTTAACTCAGTCAGGGTTTGTTCTTCTCTTTGTTGCTTGTCGTTAATCTAGTTATGCCTATTGCGATTATTCTGCCAAAACACTATTACCATAGTTAGAATACAATAAATTATTTATATAAATGCTAGCCAACGCGGCCAACCTGAAAATCCATTGGCCACACTGAATCTCATTACTCAAGTGGCCCTGAGATGTGTGTCGGCCGGCCCACATGAAGAAAAAAGTTAAGCGGCAAGCCTTGCATCTATGCTGAACAGAGTGAGAAGGAATGCTCCCGCCAGGATAGGCCAAAGTGATATATTGCTCTCAAAAGTGCCCAGAAAAGAATTAACTTTTCTTAAACTTCAGTTTAATCAATCTTGAGGATAAGTAATTGCACAATGAATCGTTCAAACCTACCAATGAAAATTTGCCAGTTTTGTACTGTCCTTGGCCAGGGTGCTCTCGTCAACGTTTACAGTAGTAGTGCAATGTCGGGGAGTATGGTGCGAGCATGCTGGCTGCAGAGCCGCATGCGTTGACTGTCAGTGTACCAATGTGTCTTGATCCTCCCCGACATCTGCAAAGAAATCTGCTAATACGTGCGTCTACCCTTACCTCTCGCCGCCATTCTTCCCCCCACCCCCCCCCTTCGAAAGTTTGGACGCGCGCGCGAAATCAAGAATATACATTTCAATCGTGATGTAACTGATACAGTAGCTCGCCCTTGCGTGGGTGTATTTGTTTATAAACAATTTAGTCTGACTGACTCTCTCCCGTCTCTCTCCTCTCGCTCGCGTGCCTCTCATCTCTCTTTTCTCTCGCCCCCCTCTCTGCCTCGCTGCCTCTCTCTGCCCAATAACAAAAAAGAGGGATAGCTTTGCTAAATGATGTGTAACGCAACTGCGTATCTGCCATATCTGCGCCTAACAAAGGTGTCACTACGCCACGACTGCAAATGTTACGTTTATAACGTGAGACTAGACAACAGACCTCAGATGAGCCAGCTCGCTCTGCCAGCACTGTGTTACGTTAAGTGTCTTTGCCAGTGCAGCAGCTGCAAATGCACGTCTTTCAATAACTGCTTTCATTTGGTTTGTTCCCTGTATGGCTGCCTGTAGCATTATCTCATGATTCAGGCCCATGAGAATTTTCCGCAGATTCGCGGATTTCCTGGTTTTGGTTTCATTTTGCGTCGTTCTGAGACCGATGTAAATAACTAATAAAAATGTGGGAAGGCCTATAAAAAACTTTATACTTGCAACATGAACCATTTTTAATTTTACTCAATATAAAGTCAGGGGAAAGTACGCTCGAATTTCAGACAGAAGTGACGCGAAACTCAGGATAAATATCGCGGCTTGGTATCTATGTAATGTAAAGTGTTTTAACCACTATTCTCATGCGTGCCGAAACCGGTGACAATGGTTCATAGAAAATGAGAATTCAATGAAATATTTCTCCAAAAAACATCTCAACCTGGTTCTCATGCTTGTCCTGAATTAGAGGTCCACGTTTGCTATAGACATGCGATGAAACGCGCTGTAGCCACGCTTTTTGAGTGGTGAAATATCATGCGATATATACTATCGCCCTCCTCTCACATGATCCTTTATGAATTAGTCGCGTCTTTCTGGATCGCAGTTGGCATTACGAAATGAAATATATAGCTTCTTTATGAGCCATTATGACGCTGCCCTAACGCACTGTAAGCCAGAGTAACATTCTGTTTAGACTCTGCCGTGCATGTGCTGCGTTGCTGTGCCCTGCGTGTGCTGGCGTGCGTATGTGCGTGCGTGAGTGCATGCGTGTGCGTGTATGTACAGGTGCGTATCCCTTTAGGGTTGGCCTGCCACACTTGGTTGGCTCAACGATTTATTTCAGTGAACTATTAAATATGTTAAAAAACGATGCGTACCACGTTATTTATAACCAAGGTATATATAAAAGTATAGGGATAAGTATAGGGAAAAGTATAGGGATAAGTATAAGTATAAGGTATATATAAAAGTAGAGATTGGCAAAGAAAGTCAAAAAAGTAATAGTAAATAAAAGTCAAAACATAAAAAAAAAAGTAAAACACAAAGTAAATAAAAACATAGAAACGCGCTCAAAATATCAAAACGCGTAAAATGTGGCGCTCGTTAATTAACGATGCTAACGATGTTAATTAGCGATGCTAACGATGTTAATTAATGCGGCGCTAACGACGTTGCAGAACGACGCGCCGACGCGGCTGCGGCAGTGCTATGAGGCGATCCGGCATGAGGAGGGAGACGTCATCAGGGTGCGAGACTGCGTGCTACTGCGCTCCGGCTTCCGAAAGAAGGACCTTCCGTTCGTCGCGAAGATATCAGCTTTCTACGAGAATCCCGACGACGGTGAGCCGTGAAAAATGTTAAATAATTAAAGTATTATAATAATAAATAATTAAGTTAGGCGTTCAATGCGCCGAGAACAATCCTCACGAAGCTGAGCCACGGGCGTGAAAATTAAAGGCAGCGGTTAAAATAAAGAAATTTAATAGAATTAAGAGGAAAAATATTAAAACCAAAATGCGACTTTTAGCAGTGGGTTTTTTTCCCGTAGGTGAGCTGAGCCACACACTCGCAGATTCCCAATTTCCCTTAGTCTACTGCGTGTAATCACCCATAGGCTTAAATATTGGACCTAAAATATAAATAAATACAATAATAATAAAAATAAATATAGGACATAAAATCTTATATTATATATTTTAATATATTTTAAAATCATGAAATCCCCGACGGACATCACTAGCTATCGCAACACATCTGTGATGTGCGTCTGTGAGGTGCATCTGTGATATGTGCTGCTGAGGTGTGTGTGTGTGTTGTGTTGTCAGGTGAAATAATGATGGGTTTGCTGTGGTACTACCGACCTGAGCACACGGAGCTGACGAACCTGCCCACCTGCGTCGCGGCAGAGCTGTTCGCCAGCAAGCACCAGGATGAGAACAACGTTGCCTGCATCGAGGACAAGTGCTACGTGCTCACGCCGCATGAGTACGCGAGGTACGTGTCGTCTCTGTCTCGCACGCTCGCTGCGTGCGATTGTGCGAGTTATGTGTCGTCTCAATCACTCTTGCGCTCACGTTAGTGTGCTAGATGTGTGTTCTTTCACATTGCACAAGCTTGCCAGGTGTGTGTTCTTTCACATTGCACAAGCTTGCCAGGTGTGTGTTCTCTCACATTGCATAGGCTTGCCAGGTGTGTGTTCTTTCACATTGCACAAGCTTGCCAGGTGTGTGTTCTCTCACATTGCACAAGCTTGCCAGGTGTGTGTTCTTTCACATTGC